GGGGGGGGGGGGGGGGGGGGGGGGGGGGGGAATTCAATTCATTCGTACCTGTGGAGGCGAGGGCGCATCGTAGTCTCCACCTCCTCCGGATTCTGTCACGCCCGCTGTCCCGGTTCCTCTATCGCTCACTGCTCGAATGGCTCCGTAACCGGCCCTGACCTTCCGCTTAAACACCCAGTCATCCACAACACTCGCAGCCAGCTACCGGTTTACGCTCCCGAGCACCGGCCAACTATCTCACTGGCCGACGATGAGAACATAGGCTCCCCCGGGGGCTTTGATAATGTCGCTCTTCAGACAGATTTCTAGGTCCAATACCTGCCGCCAGACGAGCTGGTTTACGACCCGACGCTGCCGTATTGGGCTGAAGAAATGGGATGGAGGGACACGTATAGCAACTTTGTCCATTTCTTGGACAGCTCCAGGCTTTTTTAAGGTAGAGCAAAGAATAACCTTACTAGCCCACTCTGGTGTGGATGGGATTGACGAGCAGGTGGCTCCCGTGCTTCCTCCACCTATCAATTTGCAAGGCCTCCTGTGACGATGATTTATACAAAAGGGCCAATTGCCGGCTGAGATATATGCGAAGTGCAATCTGTGCGATATTGAGGTTGGGTAGCCCATTGTTAACGCAACAAGACGGCCAACAAATTAATGGTTCCTCCGCCGCAAGGACATGGTGTGGGCCGTTTGTCCTACCATTAGAGAAGGGGGCCAAAAGCCAGCCAGAGTCGGATCCACTACTGCGGTGGGCAACCCAAGAGTACGTCTCAGGGCAGCGTGAGCTGGAGGAGCAGGCCGAGAACAGGCGGGAGACGACCGATGTTGGCATGAAGACAGAAGCCAACTGGGATGAGTTCTTAGGAATGATACAACTGAGAAGCCGAGGGGGCGTGTTGGTATGTCAGTGGGCAAGGTCGGCTTTCAATTGTTATATCTCGCCCGCCGAAGCTTTTTGTCGAATAGCGGGACCGTAGCAATTCAAGTTAGCACAATCAACACCGAGAGATACGACGCAGGCAGCACCACGCCAGCAGCGGACTATTCGACATAACAACGCCGGATCAGCTGAATACTCGTGATGCACCACCCACCTCACTGCGTGGAGTGGGCCCGCTGTCAGGATACGGGTTGAGCTATCTGCGAGGTCGGAGTCGGACGTTCCTTTGTGGGTCATAGTGTTAGTGATTCTCCCCTTTTTAATTCCTCTCGTTTTCAAATCTATTGTCGGTACCGGCCAACCCGATATAATCCAAATCCTCGGAGACGCACTGTGACACTTCACGCCTCCTCCACGTGATCACCGGAAAAGATGTCGATTACTTGCACAGGGTGATCTGGCGGGCGTTGTCTCTTGCGGGGACTCATGTCTTCCTTCACAGTGACCTCCGAAGCGTTACCTTCCCGCAGTAAAGTACTGGCGGCGGCCTGGCTGTTCTCAGCGTACGGCCATGGGGTATCCCTACAGCTTACGCGAGCGGTGGGGGCATCAGGCGTCCCTACCGGATTCACTTTCAAACTCCCATGTTCGTGGGCGGATACCACGCACGGCACTGACCATACAGGTCGCTAGATAAATGGTCCCCTCGCTCCTTCATGGCTCTTCGGGGACTTCTCGTTCAGCTTGTATAACACTAGCGAGCCCACTGGGAAGTCAGTTGTCGACTGTCCTTTAGATAAATCTGGCTCTCGATGAAATACTTCGCTGGCCAGTTACAGCGCGGTCGGGAACCTTAGTTCTCGTAGTGCGTCTAGTCGGGCCTGTTCTGGGTACACGACCGGCACTTCGTTGGAGTGCCTGGCCTCGGTCCCAATCAGGCCTGGAGTTGTGAGCTGGTACGGAAGCAGCCAACGCTTCCTTGAGCTCGATGAGTGTTGTACGACGAGTGACCCGGAGGGCTTTACTCAGCGCTCGGTGGCTGGATTCATTTACGCCGTTGCCTTGCGGTCGGTAGGGTGAGGTTACGTACACCTTGCGTCGCCACTCGTTCATGACTGGCTGGAAGAACTGACAGTTTATCTCACTACCGCCGTCTACGAGGACTGCCATTGGATGACTGTGTGCGCTTTTGTCGTGTATCACTGGACTTGTAAGTACCTCATGGCATGGTCGATGACGACTACGATGTGGTAGGTAACTCCTCCTACTGCCCGCGGGCCGAGTAGGTCGAACGAGATGAGTTCGTTGAAGAATGGCCGCGAGAGTGAGCCGACGTCTTTCGCAACTGTTGACCTCAGATTCAGGCGTGCAAGCATTCTCTCGTCCACTGTTCGATGTCGCGACAAAGGTTTGGCCAGAAATACTGGGCTTGCAATTGCCGTCGCATGCGGTGGACTCCTGGGTGTGCGCCGCTCTTGAAGTGCAGCCGGTCGAAGAGCGTTACAGACTACTCTTCCGGCGTTACAACGTGGATTGTGCGTCACGCTGTGGGAAGTGCTAGAGAGAAACAAAGAAGTGTTCCTGCGCCCGAGAAGTGGGCAGATGAGATATGAGGCAAGCTTCCAGCCAGGTTCAGGGCCGACCGACGAAAGCAAGGCTGATGCCATAGCCGCGGGCCGCGAAAAAAGAGCTCAGACAGACGCCACGCAGCCTCCCAGCTTTCGAGAGGCGCCATACGACCGAGAAAATCTCTGGTCCATTCGTAATCCCGACAAAACAGGCGGTTACCGGGTGGTCTTGATAACGAGGCGTCCGACGATTCCTGTTAAAAAGCTCTCGACTGCAACTGGGTGTTCTGGGACGGTCCCACTTGTTCCCATCACTGACCTGTGACTTGTATTGCAATACAACTCATTGGGGACTGTTTCGACAGTGGAGGTCGCTTTTGGGTTTCGTCTCCTTCCATCTCCTTCCATATTAGATAACCGTTAGCAGCATCTCATAGACAGGACTCCAATCCCAGCTACTGTCCGTAGTAAGAATGGGATACCAGACCGGTGGGTCTCTACCCCACCTGTTCATGCAGCGAAAAGGTCTACTAAAATAACACTTTTTATTATCTCGTTCGAGACAGCCAAATTAGACGCCGGGAACCGACGGCGTATGTACGTTGTAGAGAGGTAAAGTCGTCACACTCTTTTAAACGCCCGATAGGACTCAACTCCACAATTTACAGCTGAGTGACGGGTGGTTGCACTCACCAAACATCCCATCGGATTCCAGCCCTGTCGTTAATTGAGGCAAACTTTATAAGAAGCAACCGAAGGTTCGCAAACCATGCCTGTGATGCATTTCGGGATACCACCACAGGCTTGTGGCCATTTTACAGAAACGTTTGCTCCAAATTGAGTGCTCCATGTCTGAACAAAAAAATTACTGGCGGCTTTTGTAGTATTCAGCGACTTTAGGGTATGCCTTAACAACCTCGTGGACCTTCTTCAGGTGGGGGTAATCATCCAACTTCATGGCATCCGGGAGTCGGGTAATGAGTCCCTCGATGACTGTGAAAACAAAGAGATCGGCGTAAGAAAATCCGGCGTTGGAGATAAAGCCAGTCGAGTCTGATTGCCTGGTGGCAATCACTTTATCGGCAACACTCATCTTCTCTGCCAGTTCAATCTTCGCCTTGTCCACTTCTGTATTCGTGTATATGTTTCGAATCGGACCATAGCAAGCTTCTATGATGCTGCAGGCCTGCTCAGCCACGGCCGCTTCTACCGGATCTTTGGGGATAAGATCTGCCATGTTTGCAGCGTACATCAAGATCGCCTTGCTCTCTACAATATAAGACCCATCTTCTAGCTCGAGCCAAGGAGCA